ATATATTGATCACCAACATCGGGGACGAGGTGTTGATCCTGCATCAAGACCAACGGATCGGAATCTGGCTAGACGGAGACCATGTGCCACGAATACCAGGTTTCATCTCGATCGGCTCTCGTCGTTACATGGAATGGCAGAATCTAGTGTTGGAAGCTACCACAGACACTCGATCCGAAGAAATGGAGGTCAAGATCCCGCTGGCGCCCGCGGTGGAACGATCCGAGTACAAAACTCCACGCGTAATACTCCAGAGATCGAAGGCGATGTCGATCCAGTGTCGGAAGGTCGAGGCGAGTGAGGATCAAGATATGCCTCTCTATCTACCTTCGGACAACTCGCCGTCGGACAAATCACCGTCGGAGATTCGACCGTTGGATCTAGCGTCTGTCGCAAGTGAGGAGTCGGATCTGTCGTCTATCGCAAATGAACACTCTATATCGTATGCTGTAACGGTCAAGGAGGTGCTAGAAGATTTTGATCAAATGACGCCAGACGTGTGGGCGACCGATCCTTCGTCAGAAGAAACTAAAAGTGTAGTGGAAGCGCGAGAAGAAGGAGGTCGAGACGGAATTGGGGTCGCCAATCAGGATCAACTACATTCGAGAGGTCAGGAGCAAGGAACGTCACCGTCGAAATGTGGCGCATCTGATCCGTCATCAGTGATGAGTGTACAATCTGGGAAGGGACATGTGACCAGTGATCCGTCGAACGACAAGTGCGTCGCATCTATGTCGCAACAAACGGACATGGATCCATTACCTGTTGCTGAAGATCAACCAGGCGCCTCGGATCTGGACCTCACCTGGGACTCAGATCAAGATTATGCTGGATGTATACTACCATTAAGGAAAAGATCTGTACGCGGAAGATGTTGACGGTCAGATGGCGGTACTGCCAGAAGTGCCTGTGACGACGGTAGATGTGAAGATCGAGGACATTCAACTATGTGGATCTGATAACCAGACTTCAGAAGATATTGATCGACTTTGCCAAAGGATCGGGAAGTTCTGACACCTCTTGATCGGCAAAGGAAATGCCCTTCCGCCGGCGGCCAGAGGTGTTGTATGCGACATCGATGTCGGAGGTGCGAGGCCAATCGCGTGTCGTAAGTTGCGGATCGAGTTTAGGGAGAAACTGGCGGACTTGATCAAGGGTCTATTGTCTGCCAAGATGGTCAATTACGGACTTGATCAAGGGTCTATTGTCTGCAAAGATGGTCAATTACTCTAGATCACCATGGGCCTCCCCGATTGTGGTGATCATCAAGAAGAACGGAGTGGATATCAGGTTACGCATCGATTACCGGTTGGTTAACAGTCTAACCCAGCTGATGATCTACCCAATGCCCTTGATCAACGACCTACTTGAAGATCTAGAGTCAACACTCTGGTACTGTTCTTTGGATATGGCTAGTGTATTTTGGGTAGTAAAAATGACAGATTTTGGGTAGTGAAAATGACAGATCGTGTTCGTTTGATCTCGGCTTTTATCACTCCTTTTGGGTTATTTGAGTGGAATCGAATGCCTTTCGGCTTGAAGAATGGGCCCCAGATCTATCAACGTATGATCGACAACGCGCTATATGGATTCACCCGAATCCCGAAGTCTGAAGATCACGGAAGTACTTTGAATGTGTTTGAGGACGGGGAACTGGTGGATCCAGGCAAGCCTTCGGTGCCTATGCGTAGATCATATATCGACGACATCCTAATCCCAGCCAATAACTAGAATCAACTATGTGATCGAATTGAGGATTTACTCGAAGCGTGTGATAAGTGGAATCTATCGATCAGTGGTGTGGTTAAGAGATTTTGGGGAATGCCTAAGGTGGAACATCTTGGCCGTAAAGACTCTCACCATGGACTGGAGGCAAATCCGAAGGATCTGTTGGCACTGACTGATCTAGCGTTCCCAGGATCACTCAGAGCTATGCAGTCATTTTTGGGGAAGTCTGAACTATTACAGCCGATTTATCGAAGACTACGCGATTTAGCCTCAGTTCTGTATGAATTACGAGAAATCGACTTTGCTGCGATGATGAAAGAAACCACCCAAGCACAGATCCAACAAGTGCTGGAAGCAGATAATATGGATTCATGATCACAGGAGGGTCAAGTGATCAACCACCGAAAGACTTTGAATCTGGAGGCGCAAGATCCTACTGAAGTGGATCCGCGTTGGATCCACGCCTATCGGTCTTTCAGTGTGCTTAAACCAAGATCGCTACTACTCCGTTCTTACGGCACTTTGATCCAGATCGGAGAGCTACGGTCGTGGTGTATGCTAGCGACTGGGCCATTTCAGGATCATTGATGCAGGAGTACGACAAAATCTACTACCCCGTGATGTTTGCGAGCCGTACTTTGAAGTCGACTGAGCTGAATTATGGCATCGCGGAGAAGGATGTATTAGCTTTACTAAGGATCCTGGATCTTAACTACAACGCACTGGTCGGACTACCGATCCACGTGTTGATCCGACAATCTACTTTGACGTGGCTCTTCAGAACCACAGCCCTACAAGGACGTCTAGGACAGTGGGCTGCTTTGTTGTCGCCCTGGACTCTCGAGATCACCAAGTGGGTCAAGGGAAAGGATGAGATCTTAGAAGCATTGGCAGCCAGAATTACCCCTAGATCTGAAGTGGATAAGGTATTGATCTCGATTACCCCCAAAAAGGAACCGCGACACATGATCCAGGCCCCGATCCCCACTATTCGACGCGATGAGGATCTATACGCTGTTAGTTTCGATGGATCTGCTCGTGTTAAGAGAGGTGGAGGCGCCTACAGCGCGATCTTGTGGAAACTACCGGAATGGAGGGTAGATCTGGATACCCAAATCTTGACAGTAAATGAGGCAGAATACCATGGGTTACTGTTGTGTCTGAAACTGTTAGAAGATCTGGATCCACGACATCTAGTGATCTGCGGAGACTCGAACCTGGTGATCCGACAAGTACGAGGTGAGATCGATTGTAAGGCACCGGGTTTGACATTGCTACACCAGCGGGCTCTGGATCGACTACGTACTTGGCCGGATCACGCGCTGTTACATGTTAAGCGAGATTAGAATGGGAGTGCTGACAGCTTAGCAAGTGCTGCTCTGCAATGACAATGAGGGATCGAGGTCGAGTCTGAACAGGAGATCCAGGATCTAGTGACCTTGAACCGGTTGGATGAGATCCTGGTAGTGAAGATCGAAGACGAGCTCGCTCAGATATCTGCTGTGACTACTCGATCTAAAGCTAGATCTGGAGTGCGCACTGGGTCTGATCCAGATGCACTGCATGAGGAAGTTGTGCGAGAACTGCGGATCGAGCGGATCCGGCAAGCACAAGATGAGGGGTCGTGTATCTCAGGTTTGAAGAAATATTTGATCGGTGAGATCCGAGATCTGACGCAAGAGGATGCTAAGATGTTGAGATCTATTGCTATGAATTATGAAGTGGATCAGTCGAACCTACTCATCTACTGCCCCACAACTAAGGAGACCGCTGCGGATCGAGACAAGTTGATGCGACTGGTGGTGCCTGAGACGCTTCAACAAGATATTTTGCATCACTACCACACGAGCTTGCAGGGTGGCCAGCAAGGGATCGGTCGTACCTATGATCGGATTCGCGATCAATTCCACTGGAGAGGGCTACATCAGAGCGTACAACGATATGTGGGGGAATGTGTTGATTGTGAAACAGGCAAAGGACGACCTCGGATCCAGGGTGGGTCACCTGGTAACCTTCAGGCAACATATCAGTTCCAGATCATTGTCATGCATCACATACCTTCGCTGCCTAGATCTTTCAATGGTAACACAGAGCTATTGATCTTCGTGGATTTATTCTCTGGATATGTGATCGCCAAAGACAGCGCCTCTAGATCTGTACAAACGATCGCTGGACTTACGAAGAATGCGTTTTCCTCAGATTTGGTGTGAGCGAGGTGATCCGACATAATCGAGAGAGCCAGGTTTCATGTCTGATTTCTTCAAGTCCTTCAACAAGTCCTTGAGTCAACGCCAACGTGCTACTTGGCTTATCGGGTCCAAGCTAGTGGATCCGCAGAGCGTATGGCCCAGACGACCACAAGGGCTCTTAATATGTAGTGCAGGATTTGGATCAACGTGATTGGGATGAGTGCGCCAAGCGGCTCACCTTCGCGATAAACACCGCAAGGGATCAGATACGAGGTGAAACCCCTTTCTACATGATACATGGTTGGGACCCTAGATCCACTCGATCCCGGTAGGGAGCACTCACAGGTACGATCGAGATCCGAGAAGGTGGCGATATCGGATACAAAAATATTACAAACAGGCCTGAGAACAAATGAACCAACGTTTGCGCGAAGCAATCACGGATCGGGCCGACACACATAGTGATCTGGTACGTCCACATTTTGTCGAGGCTGGATCAAGAGTTTGGTTGTATTTGAATCGGGTGCGTGAGGGATATGCGAAGAAACCGGCGCACTTATGGCATGGGCCATTTCGCGTCGCTGAGAAGATCGGGGAATATGCAGTGGAGCTGGAGATTGCAGGATCAACGTACAGCATCTTCTCGGTGGTACATGTCTCGAAGATCAAACTGGTTAAGATATTTGCCTTTCGACCGGTAGCTCTCCTAGAGGAGCCGGATGGAGATCGGGTGGACTTCGATGAAGCTCTCCTACTCAAAGACAGTTGGATCCAGGATCGGGATCTAGATGAATACGAAGTGGATCGAATTTCCGATATAAGAACTGGCAAGAAGACTAGATATGGACGGACCTACCGAGAATTTTTGGTACATTGGCGTGGATATGAGGATCCAACTTGGGTGGATGAAACAGATCTCAACTGCGGTGCTCTTCTTTATGAGCTCCTGCGAGATCGCATTTATCGCAACCGGCTTGGTGTGATGCAGTCTCACAAGGAACCATAAGATCTGGATCCACGCTGGTGAACTCGTCATCGGTATGACTGAAGGTTGATGGATCTGCAAGGAGGTTGCAGATCGGAGGACGGGGCTTGCATAATATTGTATATGATGATGTGCCGATTGAGGATCTATGTGAAAAAGGGTTTATTCGGGAAGGTGAAATGAGAGCGAGCAGAAGTGAAGTCCGAATGTAGATCTAAATCTATATTATCTGGGTGTTATGGATCAAATGACGAATGACAAGTGTCGAGGAGGTATCAGAGTGAAGATCTGTATGAAACAACATGATCAGAAACTTAGCAGAACCAAAGGATGCTAGCGAACTCAGATCGGAGAAGAAGTAACATGTATTACGGTCAACGGCGATGATCTGAAAAAATGCGTGGAGAGATGTCAGGATCACGTCTGCGGACGAAGGGGCGGCGCGTTGGGTTCAAGGGTGCCATATTAAAGAATTTTCCCGCGAGGCGCGCGATTCGTCGAGCTGGATGGCCTGCGTGATGTAGTCGGTAGTGGGTGCGCCACGGATCCGCAGCGTCACACTCAGCGAGGTCCTCGATCAGATCCGCTGGTTCGCGGCGGTTCAATTGTGGATCCGCGAGGTTAGCCCTAGGAGCTTCAAGGCCAGGATACCAGGCCACTTCATCCGTTCGCTTAGGGAAGTGAAGAAAATACGGATCCAGCAGCAGATCCAGATCACACCAACCTTCGCGCATGACGATCAAGAAGAGCTGCAAAATTTGCTTCCACCTGCCACCAGCGCGAGATCGACGATTCTTCCTCTCCACGACAAAGAGCGCCAAATAAGGATCACTGCACACCAACGCCGGTGAAACTGGAAAGCGATGCGTGGACTCCCAGTACGCGATCAGATCTTGAAGCTCCACCGCGGAATATCTCTCGATCAAGAATCCTAGACGACCGTCGACCTTGATTTAAAAAGACATTGGCTCAGGAATGTTGGCTCCAGTGAGGACGTTCCAGGGAGAGCAGCCATAAGGGCGCGAACGTTATGGACCGTGATCAGATGACTGTAGTGTTGACCTGGTCTTGGGGTGGCCACCCGAGGGACGTGACCGGGGAAGATCCACTCGGGGCGAAATGATAACGCACGTGACAGCACTTCCAGGGTCATGGTCATGATCGTCAAAGTGTTGATCTGCTGGATCATCCATGGATCCACGTCAGCGATGTTATACTGATGGGTCTGCTGGCGGACAGGGATACATTCGTGATCAGCAGCAAACAGACGCCGTGGAAGCATCGTGGAAAGGAGAGGCATCCCAGTCGGATCCACAGGAGATCCGCCGCCACCACCGCCACCACTGCCATTGCTTGAGTTGCCACCATCTGAATCACCGCCCGATCCAGGATCTACATCTCCGCCAGCACTGGTGCGATGAGGAGCAGCGTGATCGCGCCGCCTCTGCTCGGATTTGGGGCGAGAGAGAGCCATAACTGTCTGGGCCAGCAACATATCATCCAGAACCTCGTCATTGTCGCCTTCGGTCGAAGTGTCGGCATCTGATTCTTGGTCTCCTGGCTCCGGATCGACGTTCTCTGAGGACTTGGGATCACCTGTGGATCGAGATTTGGATTTAGACTTGGACTTGGAGGCAGGATCCGAGCTTGGGGGAGCACCTGATTTTCTGGATCTGTCCTTCTCATAAGTCAAATAGCGCAGCTCAGGGGTTGGAACAGGACTTGCAGCTCCGTGATCCTTCTCCAGGAGTTCATCAAGCAAGGTGTGGCCTGGATCCGGTGTCTCCTCGACGTCCGAGCCTCCACCCATGTTGTAGTTGTCCGGATCTTCTTCACGATCCAAATCCATCTTGCGATCCTCAGTCATCGGGGCTTGACGTTTCGACGGCCGATTCGCGTCTTGAGAAGGAGGAGAATCACGAGAACGCTTACCCGGCGGAAGTTCTTGGCGCTTGCTGCTGGAAGAGGATCCATCAGACCCATTGGCCGAAGGTGTGTAATCAGGATCGCGATCATGCTTCTATTGATTCGACTTATCATGACCCGACTTATCTTGATCCGAGTTCCCTCCATATGGCCTCTCTTCATCCGATTTTTCCTAATCGTCAGAAGAATTCTCAAGTTGCTCGTTAGCAGAGTCCGTGTCGAGCCAGAGCTTAGCGGTAGGGGGACTTGATCCCATGCTGGCTGCTACGGTAGCCAACGTTTCCAACACAGTGCGTAGTTCGCGACGTACATCCGTGCGCTCGTGGTTCAGAGTAGCCAGCCGACGGTTCAACGCTAAGATCTTGGCCTTCTACTCGGTGATCGAGCGCTCGACGTTCGCGTACGCTGTGCGAGCAATGGTAACGTGGGGCTATGTGAAACAGAAAAAAAGGTTAATGGGATATTGCGATCCAGATCCAGAATGAGGAACATCCGCAGATCTTCGCTTTTGTCGTGGTGCCCCTTTTCACGCTTGACGGCCCGGCGAGATTAACGCGAAGGAGCTCACAGCGCGACTTCTCCCGCTTGATCTCTTCGATGTTCTTCTGGATCCGACCCTGGAGCTCGTCAGCCTCGCGATCCTTGGCTTGGACCTGGGCATTCAAAGTGTCTCGCTCCCGGGAGACTTGATCGAAACGATCCTGGAGGTTGCTGTATTCGGATGTCATGTGATCGAGCTGGACTTGATTCGGCAAGACTATAGCAGCAACTCGCTTTGCGACTAGCAGATCCGCCTCGGTCTGATCCAGAGTCAGCCATGTGTGACGGCGTACAGCCTCGGTGACCTGTGAGCTGGTCAGCGGCCTGATCACGAGCACGATCGGCCGAGTCACGCTGTTCCTGTAGATCCAGGATCTCTTCACCGGCGGGCTCTCTCTCCTGCAGCAACTGCCCGACTCGAGACTCAAGATCTGCGACTTGATCTTCGAGAGCGTGCATGTCAGCCACGGAAAGTTGCGGATCCGGAGGAGTTGGGCCGCACGCGTCCACCGACACTTGTAGATCATCTCGCTCGACGCGAAGCCAGTTGAAAGTATGTTGCATGAATGGCATGGCCCGATCTCGCTCCCGGATGTAGTCGCGGAGGTCGTCTAGCCGGTCTTGGTGCTCGACCGACGGCGGATCCAAGCCTCGAGGAAAGGTCTGGATGGCCAGAGCGGCCGTAAGCTCGCCCACGCGACGGAAAAAGCGCGTGGCGTACCGGTGAAGCTCCTCGCGCGTGCTGTGAGGATCGAAGGCGGATCCTGGTGCTCCACCACTCGAGGATTCGTTTGGGCTTGCGGCATTGGACATCGTGGTGTTGGAGATCTGCGACGAGTGACGAATAAGAAGAAGTGTCAGCAGTGATACTGTTTGGCAGCAACGACTACAGACAGGAGGCGATTGTGGTGAAGTG